GGTGAGAGGAAAGGTGCGAGCTCGTGCTCTTGGTGACTCCCGACTCACACACCGATGACAGCCAGGCAGGCAGATGCAATTTGTTGCATTGTCCTCCAAGCCACCGTGCCAGAGCGCACGGTCTCGGGAGGTCACTGGCAGCCGGGCAATCCTCCCATCTGCTGGCAGGGAGACCTTGCTGCCCGCGGTGACGGGTGTCCTCCTCTTGCTGGCCCCATGAGGCCAGGCCTTTGCAGGCTCCCAGCTCCCACGGCTGTCGACGCTGAGCAGGAACAAGGGCTGCACCGCGGCGGGACATCAGTGCTGCCAAAAGCAGCAGCTTCAGCTCCCTGCGCCCACTGGCCCCCCCACTTCTGGCATGGTGTGCTCGCTGCCCCCCCAAGCCCACCACGGACACCCTGCAGCCACACGGACAGTCGTCTCCCTCTGATATTCGCAAAACCTGCAGCCGAGCACAAGGGTTTGTGGGGTGGAGGAGAGGGGAACGGAGAGGCAAAGTAATCAGGAAATGTCACCAGAGTATTTTAAAACACTTTGTGTATATTGGGCTCACCCTGCTCTAAGACCTTGCAGTACAACAACCAAATTCCAGCTCCCTGGTGGCTTTTGCCCATGAACCTCACATGATAAAACGAAACAGGAAAATATGATTGCGGAGCCAAGAGAACCCACCAGTGGGCACGGGGCAGGCCTGGAGCAGCATCAGCGTCCCAAGGCAAAGCAGCGCTTGCAGAGCAGCACCCGCCTCGCACCCCAGGGAGCACAGCTGACCTCTTCGGGGGGGAGGGGGCGGGGAGCGGCGCAGGAGCCACGTCTGCACAGCACCAAGTGCCGGTGCCTTGCTTCCTCCCACGCTCCTGTTCAAGGAAACGTCAACAGCAGGTTAAAGACTCTAATGGCATTAGCAACTCTCACAACATATAATATAAATTTCCATTAATCAGGATGGTGATATGGCCACAAAATAAACATTTTAGCAACGTGTGCGTGTCCTTTGATAGAGAACGGATTTTCCCTCTGGAAGGGCACGTCTGCTATCGAACTTCCAGAAATAAACAGTTTAGAAGAAAGATAAAACACTTTTGCACATTTGCAAACCTACATGTGGTGTTCCTATCTCATAATTCTCAAATTCTTTAGTGTAGATATACAAATATCCATAGGCTTTGCTTTGTTCCTGTACTCTTTCATCTTTCTCCAGTAAGTTCATTCACTTTCAGCCACAACAAATGAATCCAGCAGATCCACAGATGCTGTTCTGAGAACTCAGCATTGACCCTATGGACTGTTTTCTCAGCTAAAGAAGAAAAGGGTCACTTACAGCAGAGAACAGCAATCAAAGCTATGTAGACTAAAATGGAGTTGCTTCTATGTGAATTCCTTCCTATGCCTGATTTTCCCTTGCTTTTAGACAGGAAATGACAATGTTATAAGCCCCATAATCAAAGGTCCTGTTCAAATGCACACACACCTCCCCTCAGGAATCCTCCATATAATGGTAATTTAGAAGTCTCTTTTTCACTGAAAAAACAGTCATGGAAACACAGTAAAGCTTCTTGGGCTCCTTGGACACATATGCCAGCTGCAGAGAGAACTCTGGGAGGAAGGTGCTAGCAACACGTTAGGGTTTTGTCACGGAAAACCAGTTACTTGCAGTTGTGGATGTGCAGCGAGGTTTAATGAGCGAGATCTGAGGAGTACTGATACTTTACTGCTTATGTTATTTTCATTTTGCCTCCTCTGCTATTGAATACTTTCCTGGTATCAAAGACATGAAATCAAATGGCCAAAAGCCAACGATGACTTCAGTTATTTACAGGACTGGGAGCTCACAGAACAAACTCCTCGGGATACTACTAATCTAAGATGAAAGCTCTATTTGTAAAAGGGATTCAGTTGGGTATTTTCAAGCATTCATTATAACTGATCCAAAACATCTGGGAAGCTTCCTGCCAAGGCCACTGAGCTCAATGCAGTTACAAGTAAAGTAACCAAAGTAACTAAAAAAAGCTACTTTCAAATGACAAGGAGTAGGCAAGTAAGTACTGGGGTGCATAAATGCCGATACATAAGCGCCACTAGGTAAGGTCACGTTGCAAACCCCTATCCCGGAGTGGATCTCTAGACCAGGAAGCTTATGGGCAGTCCATCTTGCAAGAATCTCCCTCCCAGGTCAGCAGGACAAAAACCGCACGGCACAGCTGGCCATCCTCAGCCAGCTTCTTCAATGGAAAAGATGAGATTTTGGGGAGGGAAAGCGTTGTCACAAGCAGCACAGGAAACAAAACGATTCTAGGAGGGATTTAGTTTGGGAACCGACAGGTTATAACTCCCCCCCGGATACAAAATGTGCCAGGCTGCCACACAAGTCGCTTTAGAAGCTTATAAACAGGGCTATAGTTTCTTCTGGCTGCCAAAACGACATAAATATTTTAGAACATTGCTGGGAAAGAGGGAAACAAATGTGCAACAACTCTAAATCATTAATGTATAAATAGTCATTTGATTTTTTTGAAGGATACATGTAATTGCCTAAAGAAAATACTTTCCTGAACCTGTTTTGAAATTTGGGACCTCACACAGCATTCATACACATCCCTGTGGAACCCATTAAGGAGAGCATCGCAAGAGAGAGGGGAGAGGAGGGAGAGGTTTTGCATCTGTAGAAGCCTCCTTAAAAGCCACAGCAACGCCTCCGGCAACCTGGGCTGCCTACAACCAGTAGGATTGATCAGGAGCTGGAGCTAGGTGACTGACAGCTTTTATAATAAATAAATGAAGCTTATGATTTTATAATGGTTTCACCAAGCACTGCCAATCCAGTGATGGATCAAGAAGACTCACCATATATCTGTGGGTTGCAATGATGCCAGTGATATTAAGAAATCAAGTATTTTCAGATTTTCTTCACTCCACCCTTTGACAATGGCAAAGGAACACATTAGGAAAAAAGCCTTTGGCTATAGGAATGGTTAAAAACCTCCAAAGAATTGTACAGGATGCTGATTTTCATCTGATAGAGTGGTAGAACAAGGTATTCTTTTAAAACCTGCTGCATTTTCTTGACACATTGAAATAATTCCATGCAGTTTTAAAATATAAAATATTTGAACTTTTGCAACTCAGAAAAATCCTACGTACTGATTTTTCTTTTTGTAAAAAACACATTACTGCAAAGTTGATATTTCAGAAAAACTACCAGACACTAAACTTTCCTAAAAGAATCAGTGGCTGAAGTAAAAACACCATTAATAGTTAATAGCATTAGTTCTTTTTTCTGTATTCAATCTTCTAGCTGCAAGTTCAACAAACACTTCAGTTACCTTCATCAGCCTCTCTTCAACCACATTAATACTTAAAGAAAATGATGATTTTTTCATTGCAATGGAAAAAACCAGCTACCAAAACACTTTCTTTTTGTTATTTTACAATGACTCAAACAAGCAGAGAGATTTAAGCCAGCAGTACTGAAACTGGTGAATCTGGAGAGCCACAGCCAGGTATTTCTAGCAGACAGTCAACAACCACAGGATTTACTTCCATGGCAGGTTTGGCAAGGCGGGAAGCTTCTGGTTGACAATATCTCAGACATTCGCGTTTTCAAATGTCTCTGCCGCTAAACCCTCCTGACGTGAGGACTCAGGCATGAGTAAGACAAAAAGAAACTATCAATGAAAAATGCCAAATGGAGGTGTAAGAGCAAACATAACCCATCTGACTTCCAGAGTTGCTGAGCAGCCCTAGCACCACAGTACCATAAGGTGGCCCCTGCAAAAGTCATTTCACGTTAAAATTTGACATAAACTATGTGCTGAAGAGCAACTGCCTGTTCTTGAGCCTGATGTTCGGAATGTGCGAACATGATCTAGGTTGGCTCAGGTGGAAAGGAAGCCCACGTGTGCAGGGGCAACTTGCTATCCTGAAGCGTATTGCAAACTACAAACGCAACGCCCTTAGCTGGCTTGCCTTTCAGTGCTGCAGAACTGAAAAGGTGGGTGCTCTTGGTTCCCTGCTGCCCTAGGGACAGGGGTGTGAAGGAAGACATCATTTTAACTGTTGGCTGTAAGGGCTCACATCACTTCTTTTTAAAACAGTTGAGCTTCACACAGAATTTTCAGGGCACCCTGGCTTTCCACTGCTCAGCGACCTGATGAGGACACACATCTGCCTCCATAGAAAAGCATCTCCTTTAAAGCAGACAGAAGTCTAAACATGTAAAACTGGAGCAACTTGTTTCTAAGCATTAATTATCTGCCTAGATAATTCTAGAGATTTAATTATCCATTAGTCATACAGCATCCCAAATCAGAACCCTCTCTTCAAAAACAGACACATTTGCTTCAAGTCTATTAGCATTTCCTTCATTAGTCTTGAACTCAGAACTGACTGATAATACATTTTAGAGATGGTAACAGAATCCTAAACATCAAGCATATAGTGGAAACAGTCTCCGATACATTTCTTGATTTCTCATTTTAAAATGCTGATTTGTTAGAAACTAAACATTTCTAATCCAGTCAGAATCTTAGAAGTACTTCCATGTTTGAGATCTTGCCCTATTAAACTCGGTTTTATTGTATCCAATCTACTTGCAAATGGTGCTTACTTTTGTAAACAGATTTCTGCCAATCTTTATATAAAAGCATCATGGCTAACAGCTTGTTAAACTGAACGAGATCCCTGGGTTGGCTTCCAGTGTCAATGAAAACTAAACTGAAAGAATGAAAATGAAGCATTCCACAAGGATTTTCGTATTATTTGTGTTTATATAAAAATACTTCCCTTAAACAATTGTTAAGAGGTCAACTCATTTCAAAATGACAGTTTGGAATTAGCTATGTTGAAATGCAAACAAGACATAAAAATCACTAACTTTCACTGGATTAGTCTGGGAAAACTGATTTCTTACAAAATAAATTATCTTCTACAGACCGTACCATCTAAAAGAAATGCAAGAATCAGGAAGAAAGTCTAAAGACCACTCAGAACAACACCAAACATTCTAGTGTGTATTTTACTAGATATATTATCTATGAAATAGTTTAGTATTTCAATATTCAAGTTACAAGATTCTAATAAAATAACAAACTTCAATGGGATTGACTCCATTCTTTGCAGAGACAAGTGCTGCTACAGTTACACAGAAATGTAAACATGTACTGAAAACCTAAGGGCAAAACAGGCACCTGCTACAGAAGTGACAATTCCAGCTTTTGTCAGAAGAATCTACAGCACACAACACAACTCCCCCTTCCAAACAAGTGTATCAACCAAACAGCTTGAAGAGGCAACAAAGCATCTGCAGAGCTTCATCTTGGACCCCATCTGATGTCTTTTACACCATGAAATTGCCTTTTCAAAGCATGGTTGTCTGCCCACTCAGCATTTAGAAATGAGTCGTCGTCATCCTCTTCCAGTTTCTGTAGAGAGAACCGACGGGTTAACGTGGCAGTAATGAACGCAACCTGCAGTTAGTGTCTACAACAGCACATCTCGGCTCACATACAGCAAAAAGACAGTGGTACCTTAAGTTCCTCCTGCTTTCTGTAGTAGTACAGCATCATCTGTTTTTGCTCTTCGTGACTAATCAGAGGTTCACGCCCTGGAGCTCCTTGTCCTTTCTGAAAGGGAAATCGTAAATTTTATTTATGGTGGCATTTGCGATACAAAAGAGAAGCTGCTACGCAAAGATAGCAAAATCCTTCTTCAGACAATAGGACTTCTCAAATTTAATAAGGTCCCTCAGGGCAGGAAAATAAATGTTGAGAAACTTCTGCTGCATTCAATCGAGAATTATTTTTTCATCTCAGCATCTGAATCATGCTGTCAATTTTGTGGACATCAATGGAAGCTGCAAACAGGATTGAGTCTATTTTATTTAAACTTCCACTCTAAAAGACATAAATCTCTCTGCTTTAAGGCTGTTCTAGATGTTTCAGGACGGGCCCATCCATCTTTAGCTCCCCTGCTAATACAGACTCAAGATGGCATATGAGTTAGTAAAGCAGGGAAGGAAGGCAGTTACAAACATTACAGATAAAAGAAATTTTATTTATTACTACAAATAAAAGAATTTTTTTTCCAGGCAACTCTCCTCATGGAAGAAATGATGCACGTGGCAGAAAAATGCTGATGACCGCTATTGTCAACTATAGCAAACAGAGCAGTTTGAATGGAGATGGTGAACCCTCTCTGGAACAAAAAGGGTCTGAGGTGGTTTAAATTATCTCCCCAGCCCACGAATGCAGGCATCCCTTGTCAGACAGAAAACCACCATACTACTATGCATTTTCTGAATAGGTCCATCAGCTAATTAAACGGTGAAACAACTTTCCTGGGAGCCTACACTTCAATGGTTGTTGACCTGTCACACAATTTTTCAGTCACCCTGATAGGAAGGAGAAAGCAATTCTGGTCTTCTAAATGACAAATACATAAATGACTTGACTTATCTTCGAGTAATTCTATTACAGGCACCTGCAGTTAATAAGCTCTGCCATTAATGCTTTCTGTGGCAGAGAAGGTCTCACTGACATGGAAGTGAAATACAGCTCCAGAATAATTCTGAGCTATTGGTAAGTACTCTGCAACATTTGACTTTCACAAAAGCACCCTTTGAATGTGACTTCATATATACAGAGAGATCCATACACAAACAGGGTGAGCATCTTCTGACAAAACTCTGAAAATGAATGGAAACACCAAACATTCTTCCCTCGAGTATGACATTTGCACCAGAGATGAACACAACTATGCAGCTAGTACAAAATTTTGTCCAAAAAATAATGGACAGGCCCAGTAGCTTAGTGCTAATTCTGATATTGCAAGAACATGACCATTGAGTCAGACACCAGTATGCACTTAATGACTGGCTTTTGCTGAAGCGTCTGCTCTATAAACCGAGGAGCAGCAGGAGATCTTTGCCTCATTTCAGCTCATTAGTCCAGAGGATGACTCAGACCTGCGTTCACAATTAATACAGGCGGCCTCATCTGCTTCACCACATCTGGCAACTGGAAAGTCTCACTTCTTTTAAAAAAAAGTTCAGCTGGAAGCTTTAGGTGAGCTGTAGCTGACAGTGCAGCCAGGTGGTGCAAGCCCAGCAGCTTGTTCTCCCTTCTAGCACTCAGCGAGTTCTCACTGAACACTTTGGGAGAGTGTAAGTTCAGGCTCTTCCGCAACCTGTGTCCTCTCAAAGAGGAGACATGGCCACATCTCCAAGGCAACTGAGACAGTCTGAGGACCCGCCATCAAGAAACTCAGGAAACAGGCTGGAAACTACTGAGTTACAGACACTTTCAGACACAGAACAGACTGAAGCAGAGATGAGAGGTGTACACACCACATACGCACAAAACATTAAAACTGTTTTTTAAAGGCGAGGATACGGTGAGAAAAACATTCACAAGTACAATCAGAAAAACTGAGCAGATTGAATGACTGGGTCTGTTCAGTGCTCTGCACTGAGATGGAACTAAGAGCCAGTTGAGGTTTTTTAAACTTTTCAGTTTGTGTTTCATCTATTTTTAAATACCTCTTTCCTCTGCTTTTGAAAAGTGCTATGGAGCAAGTAATAGCAACTACAGTATTTAACCGACAGGCAAAGGAATTACTAAAGAAAAACTTGAGGTTTTAATTTATTATATTCTAAGAGAGATGTATGTTTTAAGATACTCAAGCCAGAACAAATCTAATCCATTTTATACACGTACGGACAATTCTCTTCCACAGAGATTAGCGAAAGGTGAATGCTTGTAAAGAAATCTCCCAGCAATACTTACTTTCTGTATCTTGACAATGATAGTTGTTTTCTCATTTTTGCCTACATAGTCAGAGAGCAACTTTGTTTCTTTCAACTCCTTTCCTGCCCACCATAATTGTGCTTCTGATTCTTCTATAACTTCAAGTCCAGCCTGTGATAAATAAACAAACAAGGTGAAGTGTTGGGGAGTGGGGTTTTGGGGGTTTGGGTTTTTGTTTTGTTTTTTCAAAAACAGAAGAATTTTCTGGGAAAATCTTTCTGGAATTCTTAACAGAAAGGCCATTGTAATTCACCTGATTTTACACTATACGTCTGCTACATCTTTCTCCTCATACTAATCTACAGCAATTTCATTCATATTCCATTCAATCTTGATCTGACATCAACATTTTGGGCAATAAATTCTGAATACTGGCATTAAAAAGAAATGAGAAGCTATTTAAAATGGGTCCAAGGCTTACCTGAACTCAACTCTGTATATAACATTTGAAATAAACTTCATTCATCTCATTTCTAGCTAAGCTACTGGTGCGCTTTTGCACAGACTATCAGACAAAAATATTAAACAAAATTTGTCATGCAAATGAAAACAATCATAGAATCACAGAACGGTTTGGGTTGATAAAATGAAGAACAATATAGCACATACTTAACACAGGCACTACATATAATCCAAATACATTACTGCATACATGAGTTCCCGACAAGTCTTCTTTATCTTCAAACTCCATCCTAACTGGGTCATGTGGAGGCAATCCCATGGGATACACAATCATCACAGCCCCTCGGAGCTGGTCCAATGCATCTTTCACCATCTCCATATTAACACACACGTTGGCCTGAACTTGTTTCTGAAACACAGGCAGGGATCATTGGTAATTCAAAAAAATATGCTGAAGGATTTTGCTTTGTAGTCAGTTCAAAGGTTCAACAGTGGGATATTTGAGCAAAGCTAACTGGCTGCACAAAGATATCAGGAGCTCAAATTTTCTCAATTGAATATCAGCTTCTGAATGCATCACTACACTTTTGCCCCCTCCATTTAGCTTGCTTACACGGGCAGGGGAGGTGGGGGATGGAAAAAGAGATCTTCGCTAAATTGTGCAGGAGGCTTTTAGTAACAAACATTCAAACAAGTACGCATATTACCACAGAAACTGGGTGGGGAGTCTTTTGCTCCAAGTACTTGTGATTCATGAACAAGATTCAAAACAGTAGAATTCAAGTGAGGGATAGAGAAGGGGCCTAAAACTTGAGGAAAAAAATAGAGCACATGCGAGCAGAAGAATAAAGCTTGGCATATTGCACAGCTTATGCAGAGAGCTGTAAGATCAAATACTCGTGATCATTCCAAGCCCTGCTGAAAATGGGTACAGGAAAAACAAGACACATCTGGAAGAGAGGAAAAAGTTTTTGCTTATGGATTTACCAGTTCCAATATTTTAAATAACAGGGTTTATAAAAAAGAGAGTAAGAGAATGTTGCCTCCTTGTGGACATTCTTAAACTAGCTAACTGGCAAGTACAATTGGTTTCTCAACCTCAGATGATCAACCTTTTTTTTTTTTTTAAATACACAGGCATATTTCTTCATTTTCATCATTATAAAGTGATGAACCTAACAAACCACTTCACAAACTATCTTTACATTTATTCACCAGTGAATGGCAGTAACTTCTGGAGTGAGTCAGCATGCAGTGCGGCAATTTTGCAACTTTTTATTGTAAATGACAACATGGTACGTAGTTGGAAGGAAGGAAGACCTGCAAAGTGAAGACCAGATCTGCAGATATCTTCGACTCAAGAAGTAAAACTACATATTATTAATTTCCTCCCTCTTTAGAAATAGTTGATGAGATGCTATCCAACAGAAAAGAAAAAAAAAGTCAATCTGGAGAAAATCTTTATAGTCCAGAAGCTTTAATCTGAAACATCTCTCATTTTGCGTAGATTTTGCTATGACTCAGAACAGTTTGGCTGAAATCCCGCCACAATTCAGGAAAGGTTTGCTGCAACTCAGCACACTGGAAGTGTTGCCAGGAGCTAGAGCAGCTCCTCCGCTTGCCTCCACGAGGCCTTTGAAAACACTGAGCTGCTCACTCGAAATCACTGATATGACACTGTTATCAGCAAGAAAAGAGCCAAGAAGGCCAATTTAAGTGCGCCCACAACACTAAAAATTCAGTAACATTCTCTACTTGGTTTAAAGTGAAACAGTTTAAAGTTCCACACAGACCAATTCCCAGAATTGTAGGGGTGGGGAAAAGAAAATTACTTGCAGATGTTTACAAAAAAAGCAATCTGATAATAAATATTGCTTAATTTGTGTTTCAAAGTCTTATGAAAGCTGAGACACAATACAGAGCATCTACAGTGAAGGTGAATAATGGAGACCATAGTCCCATCAGGGCATACCCTCATGCTTATCTTTAAACACACAAAGTCATTGAGACCAAGCATGAGTCCAAGTGCTTGTAAAACCAAAGCCTAATCTAAGAGATTAGAACACACTTTTCCATTAATTATACAAAAAACTCAAAAGACTGTTAACGAGCAAAAGGTATTTTATTCTAGGAACATCGCAGAATGCAGTTAAATTTTCACCAGAAAACACGACAAGCATTCGCCTAAAGAATGCATCAATAGCAAATTAGGAGCGTGTGGATAAAATTAAATGTGATTTAATCATTCAATGTGGTCTCGGTTGCCAGCATTCACTTGGAGTTTAATATCTGATTCCTTAACTTGTTGAATCAGCTTGCCAAAAGCCATTAAGAAAATCATTAACAGAAATGTCAGTTTTTATTACACTATTCACATCACTTCATGGTATTACTCAAAAACTGTCAGCCCTTGCACTGAAAAAAGTCTATTTTTTCTTTAGCTCCCCAACTACATAGTAGCACCTATTAAGAAAGTCCCACATACCACATATTAGTTCAGGAAACTTACCCTAGAGATTAATGCCTTGGCTTCCTCTATTGTCTTCTTTATAACTTGCTGCATTTTTTCATTTGGAGCTAAAAATGAGACACACATATTTAACGGTCTATGCTTACTATAAAGAAACCAAGCAAACGACCTGTCCAGGTTATCCTCTACTCTGAGCAAATGAAATTTCTTAAATCTCAAAGCAAGAGAGACACTACTAAGTTGCAGTCTATTTACCAGTTTGATAGTTCATTGCCATATTTCTTCCTAACTTAAGAAGCAAAACAGTATTTCTCCTGGGAGAGCCAAACTTACTGTTCCACAAAGACATCTGACTGGTATTTGGAACTTCATTTGGGACAAAATTGTGGAGTAGAAAGCAACAGCCATAATTTCATACTCGCCACAACCAAAACCAAGACTCTTTTTCCTGTGCCGTGCTTACGACTGTTGTGGGCTGTGCTGGCAGAGGTGCATAAAAGGGGACAAGAGCTTGGAGTTTCCTGACTTTTTTCCAATTAAAATTTCAATCTAACAGCAAATGCAGTTTTGCGAATACAATGTGCATTTCATATTATAGTTACCTATTTTAATTGTTAAAAAAAGCCTCTCCTCAAAAACAAAAATCCAATTAACTCATATTCATTCACAGCTGAACATCAAACGCATCATTTGATGGTATTTAGTTTGGCCCAAATTTACATGCTGTTCAATATTATAACTCTGTTAATATTACAGAGCTGTCCTCCCACTAACAAATAAATGCCCGAGTACAACTACAAGTGGTACTGTCCTTATGTTAAAGTTGCTTGCAAATTTTAATTGTAAGGCCCGACACTGCTCACAACCATGCCAAAAAGACAAGCTTTGTCCACATGCCTACAAGACACTCAGCTATTTCTGAGAACACAGTCAGGAGCGAAAACATTTAGCTGTAATATAAACTCTTAATCAAGTTCGGTAAGGGCCTAAGTTCGACTGGGCAATGTGTTGTGTTAGAAGAATTATTCTCCCCAAAATAAGACAGTTGGAGTAAGCTGTTTGTGTATGACAAGACCAAGTTATTCAAAGACTCCTCCTTAACAGAGCTGCCCTGCAATCAACATCTAAAGGGCTGCTGACCCGACAAGGGCTGTTGTGGTGTTGGGAGTACAGGGACAGACAGCAAGAAGACAATCACGGTCTCTTCTATGCAATCAGTCCTCACGCTCTTGACTGTGAAGTGGTGCTCAATACACACACCAAGCGCTAAGGCAAAACCACGGGGCTGGAGTTGCAGAAAAAAAAAGTGACAGGAGCGAGTTCAGTATATGTGAGTCACAGTGAATGAGAAAAATGGAGAAATATTCAAAGAACAACCTGTTAATTATCTTGGAGCCTCTGGAGAAAAATAGTATACAAGTATACATTTACAAATGGGGAGAATAAATTAAAGTGAAACAGTCAAACTTGCTTCTGATAATTGTTTACTTATCTTTGGAGTTTACTTCCAAGTACTACAGTTGCAAAGTTAAACAGCATATGTGCTGAAGAGATATACCGCTATTTTGACTTTTAAATCACCATTACACCAGGTCCTAATCCAAGACAGAAGACTTATGTATGCAACTGATAGTTTAGCTGCTCTGTTGTGAAAACAGGCTCTTGAAATAGCTACTACTTAACAAATCTACAACTGCCTTTAACATAGTTTATTTATAGGATGATTTTTATAATTAGCAAATAAACATGAGCCAGCAAACATGCTGGCCTGAAATCAAATGCGTAACTGGTATCCACTCAGTTTTTTCTTCTTACGGGACAGTGAGGTAAAAGTGAAACGTCCAGAATTATGGGGTTTATGTTCCTCATTATATTATAGATTATCTGTGTCCGCAAGGAAAAAAACAAACATTTAGGTTTGATTTACCATGTCCGTTTCTTCGCCCAATTTCATCCTTCTTGAAGACACTTCCACCACTTGGTACACACTTTTCTGCCCACTCATCCTTTAACTTCAGTTCTTCGATTTGCTCATCTGTCAGTCCTTGCATATTATAAGGCAAGAAAACACCATGCTCTGCCAGCTCCTCCATCTCTTTAAAGCATTTAAGAGAACAAGATTAAAAATCTGTGTTACTGAGAACATACCATTTACAAAAGTCTTTCACATTATGTACATGCAGGCAAAACCTTACTCCTAGCCTTCAGTTTTTAAAGAGCTCAGTATACAGTATAAATAATAAGGTATACAAATACACAAATATAGATATGTATGCTGTAATTACATTACAATTCATACATTTCACACATATATGAAACAATGTAACAAATGACACAGTGCAGGTATGCTTGCTGGCAATAAACTTTTTGGTTTTGGCATTTCCTTAGTCAGCTTTAGCTAACTGCATATTCCTTTTTCTAACTACTTTTGGGAAAGCAACTTTTTTTCAAAACGGAAAAACATTTTATTGTTATACAGCAATTAATTTCTTTGCAGTTGAGAAAATATGTAACTGGACTACCTATAGCTCTGTCCACATTACATCCGACCCAAAAGGTCAGATTCACACCCACTATGAAATAAAAAATGAACAAAAGTCTCTATAGGAATTCACGTCTAATCAAGAAGCAATGGTTTAGGATAATTCTAGCTGAGACAACAGAGAGGTGTAAACATTGGTTACCAATGCACAGTCTCACGCAGTGAGAACAGACAGCGTCTGAACACAGTTTCCTAACCCTTATCTAGCCTACAGCATCTGAGCCACAGCCTGCAAGCTACACTCACTGCTTTCTCCCAGAACAACGTATCCAGCTGTTAGCCACTTCACAGCATCCTTGCCTTAAAGGCCCTCCAGCCTCTTTACCATCATCATATTAATTAAAGCATATCCATCTCACAATAGACACACTAGAAGTACCCCAAGACCCAAGAAATGGCGATTCTGTTCCTATGGCTGGGAATACAGGCACCCTCATGGAAACATAAAGGCTAAGACTAAATTAGCAAGTACTGTGGAACAACAACAGTGGAAAAAAGAAACTATGGTAACCATGGTGTCTGGGTTTTGGAATTTATTTATTTCAGATTAGCCTCAGTACGGCCTCATAAGCTCCATACATATTTGGGGTTGGAGCACATCAGGTGTAGACAGGCTGCACCCTTCAGGTCAGTCTCATCTGAAGGGAACCTCTGCTCCTGCGTTCCCAGGCTGAGCCGCAATGCAAACCAAAGGGGGTCAGCAGGCACAAACAGTAAACGTTTTTCAAAAGCTGCCTCCTGAATCGAACTAAACCACTAATTTAGACACATCCAGTGACTCTCCATCACATGGGAAGTGGATGCCTTGCACCAAGCAAGAATTTCACTCACAAGTACGGCACCCTGCTGGTCACAAAGGATTTATG